ATATTATTTTATTGTTAGATGAACCGTTTTTACGTAAAGAAATACATTGACCGTCGCCGAGAATCAAATGCACGGAAACACGCACGTGAGCTTTCGAAGTTATTTAACAACGACGAGGATGAAGACATTACAATGGATACGTCATATATTCCTAGCACACTAGACGTAAGTGATGATAATGAACATGTGGGACAGGTTGAAAACGATTACATTTGGCATTTGCCAAATTTGCCAAAAATTTGCCAAAATTCGTCAAATTTGGCAAATATTCGTCAAATTTGGGAAATATTCGTCAAATTTGGCAATTTTTTGGCATATTTGCCAGATGCCAAAATATGCCAAATTATTTAGGAAATTTTTGCTGCCAATTTGGCAAATTTGCCAAATGCCAGATTTTGCCAAATTTGCCCAATTTGACGAATATATGCCAAATTTGCCAAATATTTGATAAGTCAGCCTAAATTTTATTAAGCCATTTCTTATTCCACTTTCTTCCTTTTCACTCGTTCTCATTTTTGTACACAGCTTTTATCAGTACTGAATGAATATATTTTTTAATGCACAACTCATATTTATTCTAAAGATTATTTTCATGGCAAACATTGTGCCCGATTCTAGTGCTGACACAAGCCTCGTGTGTAGCGCTCATTGTCCGTTTCAAAAAGGCAACGTATTTGGATTAATAAATGTCAAAGAATGTCGAGTGTCCAAGAAGCCGTGCAGTATCTATGGCCATTTGCAAACATGGCACAGATTTCCAACGCCAGCGTGTCGAACAATCATCGATGCTATCAAGAAACAGTTGCCAACGTCAGCAAATTTGAATATCGATGAAGCGACGTTATATTTTCCCAATCAAGCGCCATGTGGTAAGCGAGTCAGAATAATCAGCTTTTCCAGCTATTTTTGCTTAAATTTTTTAGGAAATCAGCAAGCTCAGTCGACAATACAGCAGTCCGGAAGCACACAAAATCAGACACTACAACTGAACAACAACGGTAACACTCAGGATCTTGCTACGCTCGTGAGCTTGATCACCAGCCCACTTATTACGTTGACACAGCAAATGCAGCAGCAACAGCAAAGTCTGACTAAACTACAACAACTGCTAGCTACAGACATGGAAAGTCGCACTAAAGATACTAGTGGTAAGTTTTTACGTGTGTTTTGGAAGTTCGCTATTTTTTCTGTTATACTTATGTTTAGCTGTTCTGTCACCGCTTATGCTGCCCGATCTGCACAATCTATCAAATGACAACGAAGATCAGTCAGCTGGTGAAGAAGAAAATATTCCACCGTCCGAACCTTCGGTGGCAACTCTCACAAAGAAAAAAACGGCTGTCTCAACTCGGGATGATCTACCGATCATGGCTTCGCGTTCTCCATCGCCTGCCTCATCGCCTCCTCGTGCCACTGTATCGAAGTCACTGAGAAATCCTCCAAAAGCCACTGTCAGAAAAAAAATCGAAGACGATGATGAGAATACATCGGAGGAAGAAGATGGCTATGTGGCGATGGCATTACCGGTAAGGCTTTGTTTTCGTTTAATTTTTTAATAGAGAAAGAAGTGAAAATTTGCATTTTTTCTCCGCAAAAGTTCCGGGATTTTTTCTCTTTCTCTAGCCTGCCAAAGTGAATCAATTCTTCGTGAAAGCAGAAGAATTTGAAAAATTCCTGCTAAGATCTGGCAATTCAGTGTCGTCTAGCAGCAACTATGTACGATCGATAAAAGCATTTTACCGATCAAATAACCTTGACGATTGTCGATGGGACGCAGCCTATCTCGCTGAGGAACGCTTTGTTCAGTCATGGGTGACAGTCCTGTCGGAAAACTACTCGACGAAACACAACAATGAAGAAATCAGCAGCATGACTTTGACAACGTATATTAGTCATCTCAATAAATTGATTACCTACGTTGCCAACAATGTCACTGTGTTGCTCAAACCAACAACGACGAAGGAGCTGAATTTCTCGAATTTCTTCAAGTTGCAGCTGCTCGAAGCCGTCACCCGAAACAATATCAAACAGAAGCTCTACAAGAAACAGTCATCCAAGAAAATGGGCGATAAAGCTGCAAGTCGTTCGTCAGCACCAATGATCGACTGTGTTGCAAGCATGATGGCTCTGTACAGAGACCGTCGCTGTGTTCGATACATTGAGAATCTGGAGGCCGACTCGCCATTGTTGTCGCCTCTCCTGTTCAGCCGATTCTTCTTCACGGCCTTCGCTCGTCCGTCATCAATACCTCGGTTAACACTATTGGATTTGCTTCGACCACAGCGGTGCGACGAGACCCATTCGACAATCACCATCAACGAGAACAAAAATGGGAAAGCCCTGGAGTGCACACTGACAAAATCATTCATCCAAAAACTAATCTCAATGGTGGAAGCCCGGCTAGGACCTACTGTAATGGACAAGGCAAGACAAACTGTGGCCAGTTATTTGACAGCAGCAACATTGGCCAAGCAAAAAGCAATTCGGGAGGCCAACGATCGTCCAGTGTTCGTCACGCCCGGAACAAACTCGTCCATCACAGTTCATTATGGTCGGCACCTGACAAACGGTCTGCTGATCTTATACGATTTGATTATCAACAATAAGGAAACGAAGATCATAACCAGCATCTCATCGAAACTCGTCGACCGACTGGCTGAAAACTACGGTGTTCAATTCTTCTTGACAATGTGTCAAACACTGCCAACCACCGATATCCGACCAGTTGCCAATGGCTTGGCCGGAGATGCTTCATCGTCTGTGAATGATTTGAGACTCGTCGATCTCGCACACAGCCGGCACACGTGAACGTCATTATGAACGCGCACAACGACCTGGCGATTCAAAGCGTGCACTAGGTCTCTTCGCGCAAGGCGCGTTGAGACACCTGAGCATTTGAGCACGAAAAGAGAGGGAGAGGTAAAAGAGATATTAAAGTTTTTATTTCATTGTTCTTAGTTGTAGACGAGGAGAGAGGAAAAGGCTAGAGTAGAATTAATTTAATTATCTGTCGTCTTTTATTTCTCTATTTTAGGCCCGTCGGCCAGGAAAAGCAGCAGCAGCGTCGCCGCAGCGCAAAATGCACGTTCCTATTGCTGACGACAGTAAAATGGCATTCACGAACGAAATGATGAATCATCTCCTCGCGTACGGTCGAGACGAAGCACGAAAAAATATAATTCGCAACTTTGGTCATTCAACATCATTCGCACAGTGGCTGAATGAAATAAAAAACGTCAACATACGTCCTACAACAGCCGACATCAACCTGTGGCAAGCAGAGGCCAATGTGGCATCGATTCTGACCGCAGAAGACATTGTTCTCGTCGCCAAAAAAGTGAACAAGATTAAATCAAACAGACACTTGGCGTTGGCCTCTCTCTCTCATCTCTAACTTTGTTTTGTGTACATTTTTTCTTTATCTACGAAACTCCCTGTTCGCAGCTGTGTCACTGTTTTCCATTTTCATTAAATGAAATAAAATTCTGCTGTAGCAGTCGACCAAAAAAAATTTTAAAAAAGTTGGTTTTTTGGCGAAATTTGGCAAATTCTGGCAGAATTTGGCATATGCCAAATCTGGCAAATATTTAGCAAATTTGGCAAGTTTTTGGCCAATTTGGCAAATCCGTTAGAAATTAGAAACTAGGATAACCATGTACATAATCCTTGATGATATTACCGCAACACCATCACAAGATGATCATCTTTCACAATGTTTAGATGATTTTCAATCGGATTCGAGTAGCGACACAGACGACGACGAAAGTGATGATATCGACGATATAATCGCCTCTCTTGATATGAACAATAAAATAAAATTTTATTCAACGTCTGCATTGACTATTCATGCTGCATGTCTTACAATAATAAAATTGGCACGTCGTTTGAACTTGAACAAAAGTGGAATCAAAGAATTATTAGATAGCTTAAGGTCATTATTACCAATG